AGAATGAGATGGCTGGATGGAGTCACTGAAGCAGTAAGTGTGAACTTAAATGGACTCCAGAAGATGGTAGAGGACAGGAAGACCTGGAGGAACATTGTCCATGGGGTTGCGATGGGTCGGACACAACTTCGCAATTAACAACAACAAAAGTTGGGCAAATCTTTCTAAAGATATCCTTCACAGAAAAGCATCTGAATCCTGTTTTTTATTTGTTAAAGCAAATAAAGCATGTCCCACACCCATGCACTTGCTCACTTTGCCCCACTGATGGGGAGAGGGAAGTGAACTTTAGACAGTTCCAGGATAACATGTTATTAGTAATTAAAACTGGAAGTTATCAGCCTGTGCACCATAGTCCTAAGGACATTGTTTCCAAGAAGAAGTTAACTTGGCTTATCAATCAAAACTGATAAAAAGGACTCTTGACTGTTATTGAAACATGGAAAAGTGTTTAGATATCCAGTTGCAGAAACACTTTCCAACTTGCTTATTTGCTCCTTCTGAGAAAGCATTACCTTTTCCAGAACAGAAGCTTTGCTACTGCTCTGGAATTGACCTTTCCCAGTCACACCCTTGTTTTATCTGGATTCAATTTCACTCTATTATACTTTTTTGATACTTGATAACTTGGTATAATCTATATAACTGTAGTCCAAAGCACAGGCTACTTGAACCCATAACAAGACTTACCATCTTCTTCAGCTATGGGGCTTTTGCTGCCCATGAGTGTGAAAGAGTAAGAGATAACTGTCAATTTTCCAATAAGAGAGAAGTTATTGCAATAGGAAAAAGCCTAGGACATCGTCATGTACGCTTTCCAGAAACAATTATGGCCTACTGCAGTGGTTCTCAACCTGTGGGTCAGGACCCCATTTGGGGTCGAACGACCATTTCACGGGGGCCCTTTTCCTTAGCTGTGCTACTCCCTTTTATTCTATTGGCTTTTGAAAGCCAATAGAATAGACTCTCTTGAATAGAGTCTAATTCTATTGGCTTTCAAAAGCCAATAGGAATTGTCCAGGCTGTCTCTGCCCTGCTGAGCCCGCCAAAAGTCCTATTCTGCAAACGGTGCTGCACCAGGTGAGTAGTCCTCGACTTACAACCGGTTGAGTAGTCCTCGACTTACGACCGGTTGGAGGGTCACGGCGTTAAAAAGGTTCAGAACCACTGGCCTACTGGGTAGTCTCACCACAACTAAGGGATATTATAATGAGACACATTTACACAGTCCAGCTAACTGAGCAATTGTGTTCCAATAGAACCTGGAGCCAGAATCCCTTTAGCATTCTCAATGATTAGGAATGAGCAGTCATTGCTCTATCACAAGGGTCTTCAAACGTGGCCCTTTTATGCCTGGGTGAGGAATTCTGGGAGTTGAAGTCCACAAGTCATAAAAGGGCCACATTTGAAGACCCCTGCTCTATCACATCCACTTGGTTCCCTATACCAGGCAGAGTACCCAAACAAAGCAGAAATCTCCAACAGTGGTTTATTTAGAATTACATACATTTATCTTATTCTGCACTGCACCATCACAATCCAGTCTTCAGAGTTCTCCTTAGATAATGAAAGCACCAGAAAGAAACATCCAAGAGCCAAAAGAATTACTTCCAGCCCAGTGGTGGTGTCAAGCCAGCAGTGAATTGTCTTCACAGACTAGGAAAGATGTCAAAGTATAGAATGTGCAGCTATGTAAAAGCTCAATTTTTTATTAAGAAGAAATCAGGTCTGCTCAAGGCCAACCGAGTTTGGGCAGGGGCAGCTGCAAACTTCAGATCTCTGGGCATAGTCCAGATCTTCCAACAACCACACCTAGCTGCAATTTGTCCCTGCTTTCCTAATTTGTTTATACTACTACTACTACTGCTGCTGCTGCTGTCAGGTTGCTTTTGTGTTCTAAACAGGGTCTGGGTTTGTGTAGAGAGTTAGGCTGGTACATTTGTGTGGCAATAAGGTAGATCATGAACTACCTTCTATGTGGCAAGGACACACACATGAAAAGCTGCAAGGTGATCCTATCTGTATGATCAAAGCCCCCCCTTCCTTCTGCACTCACATCAATTTTGCACACATGTAGAGGCAGGGCTTCAATTATACAGCCATCATCGCCATCTTGGCAATCACTAATCTTTAATACAGAAAGACTCTAAATTAAATTATTGACTAAATTTGAGCAACGGTAGTAAGACTGCAGAAAGTCCCTGTAACTCTTTTACATATACAGTTATGTAAATATAACAATCTTCATTCTGTTACATTTTTCTCTACAACTGCCCTGTTTATTTTTTTTTTGCCACTACTATGAGATAAATTCTAGTTAAACATTAAGTGAATCTTGCTATTTTTTAAAAAAAAAATTACTTCAAGGTACACGTGTCTAGAACTGCAGTCTTAAGGTATTTGTTTACCCATGCTTAGCTGGAACCAAGCGTCAAGATGTTTTGCATGGTGATTATACCCACCGAAAAAGAAAGTGAGAATCTGTTGGAAAAGAAGCATACAGTAATTCAAAGGTAAGTTGATTACTGTTGGGTATGTGCCAGCTGTGGCATGAGTCAGATGTACCCAAGGAAGCACATGTTCACACTTGTGGCAGCTCTCCCAGCCTCAGGGCAAAGAAAGAGGGAGAGCCGAGCTATTCCTTTCTACTACAAAATAAAATGCAACTCCTGGAAGGAAGTCGTAAAAAGATGGATACAGAAGAAGCCTGTAGTTCAGACACAGTCATGTAAATCCCAAAGAGCATTGTCACTTCTACTTCATTCTTCCCAGTTCCTTAGTGTTGCTTTTATTTCACATAAAATAGGATAGCAGATTGTTTCAACTTTGCTCATGAGACAAAATATAGGAATTCCTTGAAGGCTGCATTAGGATGATTAAAGAATAGAGGTTTGCAGCTATTTCCTTGAATATATATATATTTTTACATCTAACAAAACATGTATAGGACTGATTTCTGAATTGGAAAGCACTGGCTTTAAGTGAGTTGTTCTGTGTTGCCTTAACCACATTTAACTATCCTGAGAATAATCATGCTGAACTACCTTACAAGACTGCTTGAAGTGTAAGAAGGCAATGAAAGAAAATACATTAAAAGCTGCATGAAGCTAATGAGGAAAAATTACTAAAGACTCTACACTGCTACTAAAGTGCTGGTTCCCCCCCTCCTTCTCCAAACCCCCAACTTTCAAATGCACATAAATTGAACCATATAATTGCTGTTGGTTTGGTACTTCTTTGAGTAATAGCATGGGCTACCTCTGAAGGTAACACAGGTACTGTTTCAGTTCTTCATTGTCTTCTGCTTTTAAATTGCTCTTTTCTTCAATGCAAAACAGATTTTAGGGACAAATACAGTATTGGACCAGTGGTCTCCAAATGCCCCTGCCTCTCAAGAAATATTGGTGTAATGACTGTGGTGCTTGACTTTGGAGCAGTCATTCTAATAGGCAACAATCTGGTTTCTTTGGCAGGTGGATTTTTACAGGCTGGGCTTTTTGTAACTCACACAAGAAAAAAAGCGAGGCAGAGTGGATTTTGTTCTGTGCCTCCTGAAATGCTGACACTCCCAATTTGGGATTCCCTTTCAGGATGAAGAGCCTTGTCCAGCCCTTGCCTTGCCTTTGCAGGAAGACAGGAAGTGAAGGGCAGAAATATCCAATACAGAGTGCTTAGCCCCACTGTGGGTTGGTACTGCAAGGTAAAAGATGGAGAGGTTTCCTTTTATTCTTCAAAGATACATTCAGAATGGGCAAGCTAAGTAAGTCTCCAGTTTTTTTAATCTGGAGCCAACTCCTCCTTAGTTGTTTTTACACTGCCCTTTGGCAATGCTGTGACTTGATGTTATTTGGTTGTGGGGAGGGGGGGGAGAGGAGAGTTGTAAATGTCCCCTTTTTGTTGCAAGACCACCCCTACTCCAGCAAACATCTTTTGTGATCAGGGATCAAGAATGCATGGCACAGTGGGCAGGCTGTTCCTATTGTTTTCTTCTAAAGCCAGTTGCCCAGCCCCCTTGGAGGGCGTCCTTGATGCCAAGCCCAGTAACTTTCAACCAGGTAGGACTTCCAGATTGTTTTAACCAGCAGAACAAAGCAAAGTTTTTTCCAACTTAACAGTTTCCCATCGGACATTTTGATTTCTTCCCATCCGTTTGCCCCGCTTCCTGAAGTTCATCTGCTTCCACTCCCAGTTAACAGGTGGCTGGGTGTGTGTGTGTGTGTGTGTGTGGGTGTGTGGGTGTGGGTGTGTTTCCCACCCGTTCCTTGACTTGTTCTAGCAAAAGAGCCGCGCGCGGTCACACGCTGATCAAACTAAAACCGATTTTCGGCTGGCAGAGGAAGAGATCAGCGCAGCACGCCGGCGGAAGTGAGCCTCGTTCGCAACCACCTCCTGCTGCACTCCACACCTCCATCCTCCGGTGCGGCAGAGCAACAAGGACTCGGTTTTAGCTTCAGGCACAAACTTCAAAAAGCTGCGCCTCCAGCTACGTTGCCCCGCAACAGCCCGGGCGGAGCAGGTTTTTTTTTTTTTTTTTCAGAATTCTTGACGCCCATCTCTCGCGAGGGAGTCAGAGACACCCCTCAAGCGATCATCAGCCCCGAGGAAACAAAACAAAACTCACGTGATAACTCCCGCCGGGTCCCACCTGCAGGGATTGCGCGCGCTTTCCTTACAGCAATCCCAGCTGTAGGGGGGGGTTGCTTATTTTGTGCGTGTGTGTTTAATTGCTCGATTCCACTTCAAAAAGTGACGATCGGCACTGCCACCGGTCAATCGAATAACCTCGATCCCGCCACAGCAGATCGTTAACATCCGGCGGATTGATGGCCACAGCAGAGAGCTACCCCGAGCGAGTGCCACATGGCTGGACAGGCCGATCTCCCCGATTCCACACACTCCACACACACACACACCCCACCCCACCGGCCGGACCCTTACACAGCAACCAAGTCCCGGCTTCATCGGAATTCCTCCCAGCCGCGCCCCGGAGCCAAACTTACAGCCTCCTGTTGGGGTTCAGCTGCTGATGCATGGCGAGAGAAAATCCGAAAAAGCTGCCGGGTTCGCCGTCCCATTTGACGACGTGATCCGTGTCCAGGTTGAAGGCGCGGGCGATCCCAGGCAAGAGGCACAGGTAGAAAAGCGAAAGCATTTTGCCCTCCCCGAAGAGCCAGTGGCCGCCGAGTCCTGCCGCCGCCGCCGCCGCTGCTGCTGCTCAGCCCGCCGGAATCCCCAGGAAAGCCAGTCCCGCGGGGCGCCCCTCGCCCTTCTGGCCACTGATCGGCGCCGCTCCCCTTGCGGCCGCTCTGAATGGGCTCCTTGTTCTCTCCAGAGATTTGCTCGGGCTTTACACCAAGTGACGAACAACAAGCCAGGAGCCCCGCCCCGTCTCTCCCCAACCAGGCAGGAGTGCCTCGCCTTGCCCTGCTCTGCCCAGCCTGCCAGCCTGCCTGCCTGTTGCCCAGAAAAAAAGGACTCGCAACAAACTACAGTATAAAGCGCCCAGGGCGAGAGGCTTTTAGTTGGGAGGAGCAGCGTTGATGTGAGGTCAAAACGTGTGAAGGAGGCCACCACGGTGATTAATGGAGCCTTGCCTATACAGAATTTATTGGGTTGGTCAGTTCTAGGGGTCGGCACCAGGTGTGTGGGCCATAGAGTGCAACTACTGCCTCGTGCTTTAAAAAAAAAAAAAACTGGAGCTGATGTATCCCGGAACTTCTTAAGATATCCCTTCAGGACTGAAATGTGTGAGGATGATGCTTTTTTTTTTTTTTTTTTGCACGTGAGAATGTGCAGATTTGCATAACGTGTTAATTCTTCTCATGTGAATATTCAACCCGGTGAAATCTCGGACGTTTTAATTATACTATGTGAAAACCGGGAGAAACGGCCGATTGCTCAGGCCACGGTGCAGATAGGACTCTGGGCCTGAAAAAGTGGCCGGCTCTCGGCTTCAAATTAAGAGTTCCAAGGGTGGTATCTGTCACTGCTGGTAACGTTTGTATTAGTTATCTGGATTGCAATGTTGGAAAACGTCACAAAGGGTTCTCAGAACGTTTATTCAAGATATCATTTGAGCAGGTGGCCATGAATATGGAACCTGTGAGAAAAGAGGGACGAGGCCAGGCAAATATTGTTACATATGAAAAAGCTGAATATGCTCTCAGAGCTCAAACACCTAAAGTGCTCTTCAGATAGTTGAAGTGCCCACAGAAGAGAAATACTTGTCCTGTGCTGAATGTAAAGGGATTAGGTTTCAGGACGTATTGGAGGGTTCAGCACATCAGGAACAATTTCTGGATGGTAAAGGCAGTCTGACAATGGAGCCATAAATATATTGTGACTTAAAGAAGAAATGATTGGATTAAAGATGCATTGAATTGCCTATTCGCGATCATACTGGAAGGAAAGTGGGGGGGAAGTGGGTAATTTATTTCTAATCAGATCATTGTGTTCTTTAATCTTTTGAAGAGGGTGGGGAAATGAGTACAATACTAATTTTAGTCCTGTGTAGTTATCTTTCAAACATTACTGGTTAGAACAGATGTAGGGTTGCAGGATCCAGTTTGGGCCACTCTCCAGGACCAGAGGTTTAGTCTTCCGAGCTTTCAGACTTGTGCTGGAGCTCATCTTCAGGGAACTTCTCTCTAGCAGAGTGTGTGGTTTGGGCTATCGCACACTCTGCTAGAGAGAAGTTCCCTGAGGATGGGCCCCAGCACAAATCCAAAAGCTCGGAAGACTAAACCTCTGGTCCCAGTGACCAACAAAGATTGGATCCTACAACAGACATGTCAAACTCGCTACGTCACACGACATATCGGAGCTTTTCCCCCATTGCTGGCAATGGGGTGGGCACGGTTTCATTGTGACGCATCCGGCCTGTGGACCAGCAGTTTGACACCTCTGTCCTACAACATTATCCTGGGATAGCAATAGCAATAGCACTTAGGCTCATATACTGCTTCACAGTGTTTTACAGCCCTCTCTAAGTGGATTACAGAGTCAGCATCTTGTTCCCGACAGTCTAGGCCCTCATTTTACTGACCTTGGAAGGATGGAAGGCAGAATCAACCTTGAGCAGGTCAGGATCGAATCCCTGGCAGTGAGCAGAAATAGCCTGCAATATTGCATTCTAGCCACTGCACTACTACAGCTCATTTACAGGATAAGTATATTCATCTTCATTTATGAGCTATAGGATTCTTGCATTCTGGGCTTTAATCTGCATTACCACAGGCTGATCAACTGACTTTGGAAAACACATCTTAATAAGATACTTTTCGAATGAACAGCTCCTAATACAGCCCATTCAAATGTGCCACTCTTATATTCACTCAAAAGGAAAAGTTGATTTTTTTTTCATATTAAAGACCTGGCACCAAAGTTAAACTTCCAAACATGCAGCCATTCATTAAATTCTCTCATTCACTTCACCCCATCCCAGCATTCTAACATTCCATATTCTAACATAGGTATACTGTTACAATTCACAGCTGCCATTCTGTCAGGTAAATATAGTATTTCATCTTTCTGTTATTAAGGGGTTTTATTTTGCAGTAAGCTAGTAAAACAGATGAATGAAGTAGGATGAAAGCACAGAAGGATTACTAATAGACAATACTGTTTTCTCCATCCACTCCCAATAAAAAGGGACAGACAGGAAGATTGCACTGTTTGGAAGCATTTAAACTATCAAGACACTGTTTTGTTCCTGCTCTTGACTTGTGTTCTTATGATTCTGCTTTTTGACAGACAGCAAAAAAATTAGACTTCACTAAAAGAACAGAGTAGCACAATCTCCTCAGATGCAGATTTCAAATAATTTAAAATACAGTAATTTAATAAAGAAATGAATTTTAGTAGATAGTTGTATGAATTTTAGTAGACAATAGGGTATGAAGCTTTATTTATTGCAGTTATGTATGTAGCATCCCAAAACTCCAGAAGGCTGGCATGTCATCATCTTCCCCATCAGATGCCATCCTTCTATGCTAGGAGTGCAATTGATATTTCCAAGACTTCCCAGATGGGAAGGAAAGGTGTTTGAGGGTGGGGGGGGGAGGACCTGAGTACATTCATTCATTTCAGTGGTGTGCTTTTTGCAATTGTAAGAAGCAAAATAAATACCTGTTAAAACATAAGACACACACAGTGTGCTCATGTGTAATTTATTCACAATAATAACTTGATTCACGAGGGCCTCCTTTTCAGATGGATGTATAAAAACTGACAAGTGTAAGACAGTGTGGTCTAGTGACTAAGAGGTCAAACTAAGTTTGAGGAGAGTCTCCCCTTGACCAGAGAAGATCATTGGATGACTTGAAACCAGTCCTTTTTGTCTTATCCCAACCTATCTCACCAGGGCTGTTGTCAAGATACGAATGTTGTCTTGAGTTCCTGTATTCTCCCAACCAGAATGTCAGCAACATGCAACGTGCCTTTTTCTGCCTTGGCATCACTCAGTTGTCATTCCTACCAAAAAGAGACCTGCCAAGTACAAATAGAATGGTTATAAAAAAATAATAGTTCTGTTCCACATGATAGTTTGGCAAACTCATCCAACTGATGAACCAATGGTCAAACTTTTCAAGCTGAAGAAAAAACATCTCCCAGATTTCATGATCAAAAGAGAAAAGCTCCACTGATTGAAAATTGGCTTCTTTTACAGTTCTGCATATTTATTTTATTTTATTTTATTTAGTTAATTGTGAAAGAAAAGGGGGGGGGGAAATAAGGTGACATTGGAGTCATGGAATCCCATCAAGTTCTTCTGGAACCCAGGATTTCCTGGAACGTAATTTAAAATGCCTGACTTATCTGCTGCTCTCTTTTTCTACATATTCTGCTGTTTCAAAATGTGTGTCTCCAATTACATGGTTATTATATGTTAATTACCGGGAGCTGTCTTTGGAAAGAAGTGGTAGATATATTTTAAAAAACAGAAGGAGGATTCTGAAGGACTCACTGCCAAGGGTGGTTTCTTAACCAGAGGAGAGCTGCAGGGCTCTGCTGCCAACACGTGCACCGCTCTTGCTGAATTTTCAGCTGCCTTTTTATTAAAGGCATGTGGGCCTCCTGCCAAATGCATTGCAAGATGTGGGCCTGCTAGGCCCACATATTGAGCCCCAGCAGTGCCAGCTATGCTCTCTTCATCAATGTAACAATTCTTTGTTTAATGATAGGGTTGAGCCTGGAATTGTCATTTTTTAAAGCTGGGGAAAGGTAGACAGGAAGTTAGAGCCAAGTGAGGCTCTTCAATCTGCCTTCTAGAGAGATTTGAAGGGCCTCTTTCCTTGCCAAGTCTACATTCGTTGCAAGGACAAAACACAAAATTGGCACATTGATTTGGCCTAAAGTACAGCATGTTACATATTGGTAAATAGATAAAGCCGCAGCTGTGTATTGCAAGCTGCTGGTGAAAGGCATTTTTAAACCCCAAATATGCCTTGCGCCAGCACTGAAAATAATAAGCACCCTTAGAATAAAAATTTATGAAATCAATGGCTGTATCTCGAATACGGTGGCTGCAAGCTGCCCATCAAGCTTTTAGGAAGAGACTTTAAAACTAGGAAAAGCAAGGGCAGGGGGTTTAAACAGTCATTGTACCATTACTTTTAACAAAGTAATCAAGGCTGGCTTAAGTCTCTCTTTAAGTCTTAGAGCCTGCCTAGGATTCCAATATTCTTCCCATCATCCTTTATATTAGCCATCTTTAAAGTTCTGTTTTGAATAATATTGGTAGCTGCCAAACAGTTTTCTAAGCTACCGTTAAAGCCTAGCCCCATTTAATTATTTGGTGATTCATCTGATTTCTTTATGAGACGTTCCAGATGTAGTCATACAGCTGATCTGGCATCTGCCACATGACAGGCAGGGGCACTGCCAGAGCACTGCAGGGGTGGGCATGCAAGGAAAGTGTTGATAGTTAGGGAGGGGCCCACATAACTTTTTTGGGGAAAGGAGAGAGTGATGATACAAAGAGGGCAGGGCCATGTCATCACATTCTTCTGATTTTTCGTGGGCTATGGAGGATATTTCTTTGTTTTCTCAATTGCTTTTTCAGTTCCTTGCTTCAGATTGGCAGAATACAGTGCCAGTCACTTTCTGACCAGGAGCTTCCAATGGCATAGAGACATTTGGCTAGACAAATCATGTGCAACAGAACAGCATTGAGGTATTTTATTATTGTTAAGTTGTCAGAATTGCATCCTGCTTCTCCTGTATGAGCTTAAGACAGAATACATAACACTCTCTCCTTTGATTTCCCCCCCCCCCAAACACACACGCACAAAATCCCTCTGCAATTGGTTAGGGTCAGAATAGTGACTAGTATCAGATCAACTTTTCTGGCCAAGGATGGATTTGAGCTTAGTCTCCTTGAACCTAAAACCACCTTTCTGTTCTTGAGGACAAGGGCTGCATAAAAAATAAAAAAAAAATAGTAAAACCCAAACTAGCATAAATAATTACCCAGTTTGAAAAATATTCAGAAGCTACGCTTAAAAATAGAGCTGAGATTATTCCTGTCTCACAGTCCTTTTCTGAAAGCGACAAGAACAACCCTCATGTCTTCTCTGGGGCAGAAGAACGTGAAAGATTTTCCAGGCAGTTCCTCAAGGCAGTCTATGAAACAAATCAAGACAGCTTTTCCACATGTTTGGAGGAAAAGAGAGGGCCTGGGGGCAAGGCTTTCTGTCCAGCTGAAAAAAAGATAAACCAGAGAAGAATTATGCTTT